TTATTATAATCCCTACTAGGGAAAGTGCACTATCTAAAAAACTTTGACTGTTTGAGAGTGTGAGAAAGGCGAAGAAGTAACAAATGCATATCAAGAGACACTCAAGTGTATATTCAACCCTCCCTAGGGCTGTGAATATGCCAGAAGTAATTCCACAGTTACAGACAGCCTTAGAACTACAGCGTTACTTTTCCAATTTTTTTGGTGTGTTTTTCTTTTCTTTTTTTTGAGACAGCCTGGTCAGCTCCCACAGGTTAGACTGTGTCTTTTTAAAAAAAGAGAGAGAATGGAGAGGGAGGGAGAGAAGGGAGCTGCCTCTGTCCATGTGGCTACCTCTCAGCTGAGGAATGGGAGCATGCATATCTCAAGACAGCCGTTGCAGCAGCAAAAGGTAGGGAGGTCTTGGGGGGGGGCAGTGGGAGAGGGAGGGATTAGTTTTAATTTTAAAAGGCATGAACTTTTTTTAAAAAATGAACTGGCTCATGGTTCATTTTTTAAATATATTCAGATGGTTTGTGGCTCATGGGTAGCCACAAACCATGAACCACAATGAACCACAATTTTTTTTTGTTCGTGCCTATCTCTACTCCTTACTCCTGCCACCCCATCCTTAAAGTGAAAAACTAGAAAGCCTTTGGGGAGAGTCCCCCTAGAAGCTAAAGTACAAGGAAATGACAGGGAGTAGTGGAGACCTCTAAGCAAAAGGCTCCTCGAAACCTTGGTGATATTATTATTTATTATTAGTTTTATTTGTATGCTGTATTTCTCCCAACGAAGGGACCCAAGGCAGCTCACAGCATTAACATTCACACAATTAAAAACACAGTAAGTTAAATATTAAAAGATATATTAAACAATATATGATTTAAAATAAAATTAAAAGATTAAAACATGTAAAAGATTTAAATTATCTGCTAAAATGGGATTCAGTTGTAATTGTTAAAAGTCTGCCTGAAGAGATGGGTCTTTAGCTTTTTTCGGAAAGGGCCATCCTGATCTCCTGAGGGAGAGAGTTCCATAGCCTGGGAGCTGCCACAGAGAAGGCCCTCTCCCGTGTGTCCCCATCAGCTGTGCTTCTGTTGGCAATGGGACCAAGAGGAGGGCCTCCTCTGCTGATCTTAATAGCCGAGAAGGCGCATATAGGGAGATACGGTCCTTCAGGGAGCCTGGACCCAAGCTGTATAAGGCTTTATAGGTAATGCCCAGCACTTTGAATTGGGCCCAGAAACAGACTGGCAGCAAGTGCAGTTCTCGTAACAGGTGCATTATATGCTCCCTGTAGCTGGCCCCAGTCAATAGTCTGGCTGCAGAGTTTTGCACCAGTTGAAGTTTCCAAACTGTCTTCAAGGGCAGCCCCACATAGAGAACATTACAGTAATCCAAACGGGATTGATTTGTATGAGACTGAGTCAGTGGATTAGAGCTAATGTTGGCCCTTCAGACATTGCTGAGTAGAAAATACATTTTAAAAAATTAGTAGCTGACCAGGAGAATACCAAACAACCATGCAGTGTTGCTGCAAATCAGATTGTTGCCCATTATGTAGGATCTGGTTGTTTAATCTTATAAATCTGAACTGTGAAAAAAAAATGGAGAGAGCAAGTTCCCAGCCTTGTGGTTGACATAAAAGAAGAAGAATGAGGGGACTCATGTTTCCAGAAGCCAAGAAGCAGGGATTCCAACAAAGAACATCAAAATATATTCCCCCTCCCCCCCAAAAAAAACCACAAAAAACCTCAGCTCAAACTTTTCAGTGTAGATTTCTGGCTTTGTATCTTCAGTATTCTGAGATATATCTCTCCTCATCTCCCCTATTATTAAAATATAGCTTAACAAGTTCCACACTCCAGTAAATAAACCTGATAATGGCTATAATCCTTTTTTTTAAGTCACAGGCATTTGTTGTAACATGCCAAGTCAAATGACTGGTGTGTGACATCAAATATCTATGAGAACTTATCTAGTGGCAATTCATCACTGAGATTTATATCAGTGACTATAAATAATAGAATTCTGATCCTCTAATGCAAACAGTGCTCTCACAGAATTCACAAATCCTTGTTCAAAATTTATTCCAGTCTTAGTGTTTAAGACTCCATGATAAAAGTTTGCATAAGAAAGAAAATTTGGTTGACTTTTTTTCAGATTTTTAATGCACTGAAGAGATTTTCACTGCATTTTAATTTAATCCAAGATATGAACATTTTTCAGGTTCTGACATGGCCCTGGTCTAGTGAATACATGCAACTACTTCACAGGACAGGCACACGTAAAGTGCAAAGAACTAGAGGAAAATAATAGAAAGAGAAAAACCAGAGATCTGTTCAAGAAAATTGGAGATATTAAAGGAACCTTTTATGCAAAGATGGACATGATAAAAGACAAAAATAGTAGGGACCCAACAGAAGCAGACGATATCAAGAAGAGGTGGCAAAAATACACGGAGGAATTATACCAGAAAGATCTGGATGTCCCGGACAACCCAGATAGTGTGGTTGCTGACCTTGATCCAGACATCCTGGAGAGTGAAATCAAGAGGGCCTTAGAAAGCATAGCTAACAATAAGGCCAGTGGAGGTGATGGCATTCCAGTTGAACTATTTAAAATCTTAAAAGATGACACTGTTAAGGTGCTACACTCAATATGCCAGCAAGTTTGGAAAACCCAACAGTGGCCAGAGGATTGGAAAGGATCCCAATCCCAAAGAGGGGCAGTGCCAAAAAATGCTCCAACTACCGTACAATTGCACTCATTTCACACGCTAGCAAGGTTATGCTCAAAATTCTGCAATGTAGGCTTCAGCATTATGTTTGACCGAGAACTCTTAGAAGTACAAACTGGATTTCCAAGGGGCAGAGGAACTAGAGATCAAATTACTAACATGTGCTGGATTATGGAGAAAGCCAGGGAGTTCCAGAAAAACATCTACTTCTGCTTCATGGACTAAACAAAAGCCTTTGACTGTGTCGACCACAACAAACTATGGCAAGTTCTGAAAGAAATGGGAGTGCCTGACCACCTTATATATCTCCTGAGAAACCTATATGTGGGACAGGAAGCAACAGTTAGAACTGGATATGGAACAACTGATTGGTTCAAAATTGGGAAAGGAGTACGACAAGGCTGTATATTTTCTCCCTGCTTATTTAGCTTATATACAGAATACGTCAGGCGAAAGGCTGGACTGGATGAATCCCAAGGCGGAATTAAGATTGCTGGAAGAAATATCAGCAACCTCACATATGCAGATGACACCACTCTGATAGCAGAAAGTGAGGAGGAATTAAAGAACTTCTTAATGAGGGTGAAAGAGGAGAGTGAAAAAAATGGTCTGAAGCTCAACATCAAAAAAACTAAGATCATGACCAGTGGTCCCATTACCTCCTGGCAAATAGAAGGGGAAGATATGGAGGCAGTGACAGATTTTATTTTCTTGGGCTCCATGATCACTGCAGGTGGGACAGCAGCCACGAAATTAAAAAAATGCCTGCTTCTTGGGAGGAAAGTGATGACAAACTTAGACAGCATCTTAAAAAGCAGAGACCTCACTTTGTCGACAAAGGTCCACATAGTCAAAGCTACGGTTTTTCCAGTAGCGATGTATGGAAGTGAGAGCTGGACCATAAAGAAGGCTGACCGTCAAAGAATTAATGCTTTTGATTTGTGGTGCTGGAGGAGGCTCTTGAGAGTCCCCTGGACTGCAAGGAGAACAAACCTATCAATTCTAAAGGAATCAACCCTGAGTGCTCACTGGAAGGACAGATCCTGAAGCTGAGGCTCCAATACTTTGGCCATCTGATGAGAAGAGAAGACTCCCTGGAAAAGACCCTGATGTTGGGAAAGTGTGAGGGCAAGAGGAGAAGGGGACAACAGAGGATGAGATGGGTGGACAGTGTAATCGAAGCTACCTTCGCGAATACACTACCAACATGAATTTGACCAAACTCCGGGAGGCAGTGGAAGACAGGAGGGCCTGGCGTGCTCTGGTCCATGGAGTTAAGAAGAGTCGGACACAACTTAACCACTAAACAACAACAAAGTTTACATAAAAATCACACAAAGATTTATTACGTAGATCCAATTTTGCCCACCTTGTACTTGTATCAGATGCTGCACATATAAAACCAGTTGCAGTATGAACACATGCAAAAACATTCACTATTTGACTCACTGTGTCCAGTTAAGTCAGAAAAGAGTCAACTTGCGAGGGCTGTGCTTTGTATCGATGACTAGAAGAGTTAGTCTTAAGTAACAGATGGTTTCTACAGCCAGAAGAAACTGATCTGGCCAAAGTATTTAGGGCTTTCAACTTCCCTAAGAGCAGGCAAGGATTCTTTCAATTTTGGATAGCCAGAAAATTACTTTTCTGCACAAGCACAAGATATTGTCTCAGACAGTCACAATGGCCCACCTTTTCTGTTTCTGCACACAATGCTTTGCATGCTTATAAGATGGTGTTTTCATCCTGATGCAAAAGAAATGGATTTGCTAAGAATCAGGCCCCATTTCTTTTGCATCAGGATGAAAACACCATCTTATAAGCATGCAAAGCATTGTGTGTGGAAACAGAAAAGGTACCAACTTACAGGAAATCATTCTGAGGACAAGCAGCTGAATATAATACTCCTCAGAATTTGGTATTTCATGCCTTCATTCACATGTGATTCTAAATGAGAATTTAAAACTCTTCTGGAGGTGTGACACAATCACAATCAAAGAGGCCAGGCTGTACCGCCAACATGGCAGATCTACTTGTTTGAAAAATATATAGAGTGTGACTAAACTGTCAGCTAACCTAGCACCAATAGAGAGAGACCATATGGCAAAAAACACAGGGACTTTCCAAGTACTGGAAGATCTCCTTCCTTCTGAGAAAGTTCACTCAAGGTCAGGTGAGACAAATCAGAATGTTGACTATGCCATGAAATCCAAAGGTTGGTAAGCAAGAGCCATTCAGATGAATGAAACTAGGACAAAAAATAAATTCACAGAGCAGAATATCAAAATGACTAGCCAGCTTTTATTTACAACACTTCTTAAAGACTGACACAGACCAAGAGGGACATAACAAGGGAAAAGCAACAGCCACCATGCCCCATACCTACCCACTGTGGGTAGGGTCCCAAACATCAATGTCTGGGCTGGACACAAGCACGGCCTTTGGGCCACTTGCTAGTGCTCAGCACACACCAAGGCTGTCCCCTGCCCTGCTGGGGCATGGGGGCTGGGCTCTGGGGCTAGTTCAGAAATGCCCCCTGCCCCCTGGCTAGGGATGCAAATTAACAGGGTGTAAAGGCAGCGGAACCTGGAGTGCTTTTTCAGCAGAGAATAAGGGGAAATACTTGGTTTTATTCAATAGAATCTCAAAGGAATCTGCCCTGGGACCACACTCTTTATTTTCAACTCTTCCTCAACACAGTTCCAAGGGACTGAGCAGGTAACAGACTGTAGCACAACACTTTGCACCTCCAGACCAAACATCAGATACTATATGATGAGTCAGTCTAAATTCCCATGTTGTACTGATAGGGTGCACTGCAGTAACCCTTACTGTTACCCATCATCCTCTTTCAGCTTTTTTCCTAAGACGTGCTGGGCCTTGAAAAGAGTTACAGAGAAAAACTAGGTCTGGTTGATCCTGATTCTTCTGCCTTATTCCACGCTTCTAGTCAGTCAGGATATATACCAACCTCTCATCCATCATCACAGTAAAATGTCAGTTACTAAGAAAAAAAAGGAGAAATCCAGGGCTCAACTGTTGAATGAAGGCTGGCAGCCCAGGCCAGGGGATGCTGTGAAGCAGGAAGCCTATCCTTCCTAGGGAATTCAGAGCCAGCCCCAGGCACAGTCCAGACCAAAGGAGGAAACCAACACAAAGTCATTAAATTCATGTACCAGTGGCCACACACCACCACATGGGGCTGGGCCAGGCCTAGCCATCTTAGGATTTCTTAGCATCCTGTGTGTTCCGCCGCTTTAGATCACTCAAGTCAACAGGTTTGAATGCTGTCAAAAAAGAAAAGAGACAATTTAGGATATAAATCATAGACTGACATGTCCACATTGTTTCCATCAATACATCTTTCAGTTTTGACAAGAACAAAAATGCTAGACTGCTACCCTCAATTCAAACCAAGGCCACAGATAACTAAAATCTAATGGAACTATGGATATGGCTCCTTCAGCCAGGCCTGTTTGACACAACAACTCACTGGTTATGATAGCAATGGACACTACAAGCTACATGCGAAGGGATCTATAATTCGATACAAGCCTGTAAACTAAATTCTGGCACCAGAAAATCCCTAACAAGACTAAATAAATTAGGTACATTTGCATTCATGTATCTAATAATCAGATTCACAGAAGATGGCACTATTAATGACTACTGAGCATAATCCAGTACACCTCATGCTTAAGAGGCTGCATAATTCTAATGCTGGGCTTCTTGGAGACCTCTGTCTGAAAACTGGGACTACACTGTTGAACCAGGTAGGCCAGTCATGGGGCAATCTCTAGTTCCCAAGGTAGTGTTGGTTTGCATCTCCCAGCAACCCTGGCCAACTAACCATTTGCTTTGATAATTTATGCAGACTATTCGTTAGTCAAAGTGAAATGTATGGTGAATCAGGTAGGTACAGGGAAAACTAGTATGATCCTGGGAAGCTGTCAAGCTAGATAGACAGCCTGAGAATCTCTGCATTTTACTGAGAACACATTCTACTCAGATATATTATTTGACTTTGGTTCTTTGGCAAAGCAGCTCTATTTACTTCTGGAATGCTAAATACAAGATTCTTGCATTCATTCATTCTTTATTTTAAAGATTAAACTGAAATTAGAATCTCCAGTCATACTCTCACTTTGTAGTCTGAAGGAATGATGGCTGTAACTGGGTTATAGAAGCCCCATACGCATAATTTATCGTTATCTCTTTTAAACATTTCTACACATCACACCATTCCTAGCAATCCCAAGACAGATAACACTGAAAACTGAACAACAAACTATACCATATTATCAAAGCAGAAAAAAATGGCCTTGTAAGATAAAAACCATCAGGGAGTATAAGTAGACGTATTAGTTTCCAGCAGTAACATATGCCTTCCTGAATAGCAGCATTTTCAATGTAGAGAAAAAGACTAAGAGGGGCACAAGCAAAGGGGTTCTATAAGGGACAAAATTATACAGCATTGGGCCACCTGGAAAACTACTTTCCTGCGCAGCCATCTTCTTCTGGTGAAATTGGCAAGTTTGTAGATCTACTTTGTAGCCAAAGAGACCCTCTTACAGGTCCTAGAGATGTTTCATTCTTTAAATGCCAAGGAACTGAGCCCAGACAAAAAACAGGAAGCCAACAAAGATGGCAGTTTTTGAGTTACAGGTATGGACAAATGATTTCAAGTTTAGGACCCACCAGAGTTTCTAAATACCTTTTCAAGACAAGGCCAAATACAGTGGCGCCTCGCAAGACGAAAGTAATTCATTCCGTTGAGTAGTGCTGTCTTGCAAAATTTTCGTCTTGCAAAAAGTGGTTTCCCATAGGAATGCATTGCAATGCATTCCTGTGGGAACCTCGCAAGACGAATGAAGTATTTTCGTCTTGTGAGGCATCAGTCTTGGGGGGGGGGGGAAATCGTCTTGCGAAGCACCACCATAGAAGAAGCCGTCTTGCGAGGCATCACAGTGATCACAAAAACCATTTGTCTTGCGGGTTTTTCGTCCCACGAGGCGCTCGTCTTGCAAGGCACCACTGTATAACACATTTGTCTAATCCAAGATGAAAGTTATCAATTGACTTTATTGAAATTAAATAAGACTGCTTTGTGAAAAGGTACAAATGGCGTAAGGAAACTTACCCTTCAGACTGGGATTTGGCATCTTCTCCACATACTCTTCCACAAGTCCCCTTTCACCACCTGCCACCTGGCTGCGAAGATCCCGTTCCACACTCTGCCATGCTACAGAGAAGAGGAATAGCATGGTGTGGGAAAACTTCACAGAGGAACTACTGACTATTGCTAGCCTAAGGCAGACCGAGACATCCTAGATATTCAGAAGTGAGCCACCTCTGCTAATGAAAATAGCAATAGAGAAATACAGAACATGCTGCCCCATAGATGTAAAAGTCAATGTGATCTCTGTTTGTGTGCTTCCACATGAATAAGGAAACACTTCTTCATGCAAGTTTCAGAAAAGGACAATCACATGCATAATGGTCTGCTGCACAAACAGTAAAAACAAAATGGGTTTGGGACAACATCTTGCAGGTGCAAATAAAGAAGCAGAGAGGCAAGTTCTGTAACATTGAATGTAAAACCAGAAAAGTGTCTGAAACAGGAACTAGCAATGCAAATCTATCAGTTCCAGATATCAGACACCTACCTAAACAGCCTAACTATTGAAGTGCCTCATCCTCAGCGATTCTCAACTTATCCATATTTAAAAATACACGAAAGAGAAATGTAACACAGAACTAGCAGTATTATTATAAAGATCAATAAGAGACAGAACCAAGGTAGAGCACTGTGCCACTGATAAGAGTGTAGATCAGTAACTGCTGGGGTTAGCCTTCCCAAAAGTAAGCACTGTACTTTCATAGATGAAGCGAACATTCTCCTCATGTGCAGGAGTGAAGATTTCACTGCTTGGGGAGCGAGGACTGCTATTTCGCTTGCCGTTGTAAACAACTCTGGAGACAGGAGAGCTGGAAGAGAAACAGAGATAAGAAAACATACTGCTGAAATAAAACAGCAAAAGAAGATGTTTCACAGTAATGGCCCAGCAAAAAGATCCCATAACTCTCTAGACCAGTGGTGTCGAACTGTGGCCCTCCAGATGTTCTTGGCCTTCAACTCCCAGAAATCCTGGCCAGCAGAGGTGGTGGTGAAGGCTTCTGGGAGTTGAAGTCCAAGAACATCTGGAGGGCCACAGTTCAACACCACTACTCTAGACCATTCAGCAGGTCCCAGGATGTGGGAGAACACATATGGGGATTGTTCTTTTTGTTCACTTGTTCGTCACAGACCACCTTCTGAGTTGAAAAGCAGTTTAAAGGCCTTTGTTTCATGCTTAGAACTCAAGAGACTGTGATATAGAAAGCAAAAATGAGAAGAGAGTGCAATGTCACAATATGTCCAGAGAATTTAGGAGCATCAGTAGAGAGGCACTAGTATTTAAATGCCAAAGTTCTGCATCCATGCTAACAACTATTATCTGCTTCATAAGAGAAAAATCAGCACTGCAGCTGAAAAAGACTAGATCACTGTAGATTCAGATACTTTCACGGCTGGCTTAAAACTGACTGAACTTCAGTTCTCAGAACTGTGTCATCTCTCACCTTGTCATGGCTGCCTCTCGCCCAGCCGTGGCCCAGGCACTGGATACGTGGGTTGGCAATGCTGTAACAGAAGACAGACACAAGGCTCAGAGAGTTCAGACACTCATAAATCCCAAAAAATAAGAAGGCAGGTTCCTCTGAGCAACGACACCTGGGACAAAACACCTTGGAAACAGGGAGAGGTTACCTCCTCAGAGCACAGGCTTCCCAGCATCCCCCAATCATACCGTTATCCCCACTCTCCATCCCATCGCTGACGTCCCCAAATGGGTCACAAACCCTGTAAGCCCCGAGGGGCCGTTTCAACACCTCGCCGCCCTTCGCACCCACCGCTCGCTTCCCCGTCCGAAACCAGGGCGCCCTTCTTTCCAAAGGGCCCCGACGCTCCGGAGCCCTATTCCGCCCGGAACTCCTCTCAGCATCACCCACCCCGTTAGCCGACACGGCAACCAAAACGCCGCGGTTTCCCCTCCCTCTTTTCTCCCGGCCCTTCATCCCCTCGGACGACAAGCGGGCTGAGGAGCGGTGGGAGTTCTGCGCTAGGCCCCGAAGAATAAAAAGGGGACGTTTCCACGCAAGACGGTGGGGAAGGGCCGCGGTGCCCGGCCCCGAAAGAGGGGCGAGCGGAGCACCCCGCTCGTCTCCTCGACGGCCTCGTCGTCGTCGTCCCCCCCCCTTCCCCAAACTCCCTTCACCTGGGCCCGGGAGGGGTCCTGGTCCCCGGTCCCGGCTCCGGCTCCTCTCGCTGCTGCCAGGCCCGGGGCGGAAGAGAGCGCCTAGGCCGGGCTGCGCGTGCGCACTGCGGGGCTAATGGGCCCGGATAGCCCCTGCACCGTGTACCCGAGGGAAATGGTTTCCATGGAAACGGAGCGGGGAAAGGTAACCATGGAAACAGGAGTCCGGGGCTACCTCTAGAGCAGTTGTGCCCCCTCCCCGGCTTTACAAGCGTGACAATGAATGGGACAAATGGGTGAGGGCGCCGGCTTTACTCCGAAGAGGAATTTTGGCAGAATCAGTGCCTTTATTGACGCGCAGGAGGATATCATCAGGTAAAGAGCTATAGGACAGTCACTGGCTCGATCGGGCTTTACATAGAATACTTAATATTTCGGTATTTAAAACCATTTTCAGGCCAGAGCAGAGGCTGAGGTTTTTCTAATCATGCTGCTTTCATAATATTTGTACGCCCAAATCGACCTCAGTTCAGTATGATCAAGCCTGTAATTACTGAACGTTTTCACGGGACACTTCTGCAACATTTCTTGGGTCTGCAATTTACACACACTATATTGTGTAGAATGCAGACAAGTTCATACTTTTAAAAAACCTTTCCAGCCGGGAAATTAACTTGTGAGATGGACAGTTGGCAGAAATGACACCGAAATTCCAATACATAAAAAAATTACTATGTTTTATTGAGTCAAGGTCCTGGTCCCCTGTTTTAAGTCTTCAGAAGGAAGCAGTCAAACCACTCTTCCTACCTTTCAGGCTGTGTTTCGTATGCATTACAATTACAAAAACAAATTGAAACAAAACAAAGACGTAGGGCCTATTCAAGACTGATGCATTTATTTCAATGAATTTTCATGATTATAATCCAGTTCTTCAGACACATAGTTAATTGGAAACAATTTTAACTTTAGCCACAGTTAGAATGGATTTGTATCTTTACCTTATCATCCCCCAGCAGCTTTGTGTTTTAAAGTACCATGGGAACACCCTGAAGGGAAAGCATGGGAAAGGAGCCATAGAATCACAGAACTCTAGACCTGGAAGGGATCCCAAGGATTATCAAGTCCAACCCCTGCCAAAACAGGAAATCCCTCGCTAAAGCATCTCTGACAGGTGGCTATCCTTAATGTCTGTTTAGTAGCCTCCAATTAAGGAGAACCACCACCCTCTGAGGCAGTTCAGTCTAGCACTGAACAACAATTCTGTCAAGAAGATATTTGTAATGTTTCAGTGAGATTTCCTTTTTCATAATTTGAATCAGTTCAAGAACTACTTTGGAAAGTCATCTGAATTCAACTAGTCCAACCAATTTAGTATTACAGAAAGCCTCAGAGGGCTGTGCCGGTGGACAACCATGCCCAGTGTCTTTTAATTATTCATTTTCCCAAAAGCATGCATACTTGTGGCATCTTGGTTTCTCCCAATAAACATATTTTTATGAATCACATTTGCATGCAGGATCATGCAAGATGGAAGCAAAGCTCAAACACAAGGCTAAGAGGCATCTATCTTTTCATGAGTTACTTACTGGTCATGACATTAGAAGATAATAGTTACAATGGTGATGACAGTGGAGAAATTCTGGAAGGGTGGCTATGGGACAGTGGAAGGTGGCAGTAACAGAAGATCTTATATAGGTAACAACAGTGACACTTAAGCTAACTCTTGTTAGTAATATGCAGAAGGAGGCAATGGTAAGTAATTTTCAATACTTGGTACCTCAAAAATCCTATAATGAGACAAGGAAAATACAAAGCAAGAGTACTGGAAGATGAGATTCTCAGGTCACAAGGTACTGAATCAGCTAATGAGGAGTAAGTAAGAACAAGTAAAACAGTACTGTTCTTAATGAAGCAACTGGATTAAAACCAAAAAGATGACAGTTTCTGATATGCACAAATGCAAAAGAAAAGTGTAAAGATGCATGACACATATAATTGAAACTTGGAATGTTAGAAGAATGAATCAAAATAATCTTAAAGTTGCTAAATAAAAATTGAGATGTATAACCATGACAATAGTTGGTGTGAGTCAACCAATATGGACTGCAGTATGACATTTTCAGTCAAATGATTACAACACAAAAACAAAGATGAGAGAAATAGAGTCAGAATCATAAATGCAACTTTTCAGCTACTTGCATGCAAGGAAAAAGAAAACAATTACAATAATAATTTCAAATAAATAGAAGAGGATAAGAGAAAAGGAAAAGCAAGAAATCTCTTCCACAAGATCTGAGAAATCAAAGTTAAATTTAAAACTGGATTATGGATGCTGAAGATCAACAGGGGCATATCTCAACAGAATCAAATAAAGGCAAGACAGAAACAAGGTATTGGAGAACTATACAAAGGAGATGCAGTATGACAGTTTCCTTCCAAGAAGAAACTTGCTGAAGAACTAATGTATTCCAAATCTACTGAATCATACCAAAGAATTTCCAAAGAAAAACTTTATGCTCTATATAGATTACAACAAATCGTTCGTGTGAATCATGACTATGAAAAATGATGGATGGTTCAAAACAGAAATGGTTATGCTACAACATTTGATTGTACTGATGCATAACTTGCATGCTGGACAAGAGTTAGGACAGAATTTCGAAATGCCAGTTTCCAATAGACAAAGGTACATTTTAACTACCTATCTCTTGCACTTACATTCAGGAAATATCAAGAAGAAAGCTGAGTTAGATTCAAATGAAGGAGGAATCATCCTAAAACATGCAGGTTATACCATCCAATTGGTAGAACATAGCAGTTACTTGAAATTACTCCCACAGAAGGTGAAATAAGAAAATTCAAAAGCAAGATTGAACCTGAATATTAAAAGACAAGAATAATGACCAAGCACAGATGAATTACAGAACTTTAATGTTGCCAATGTAGAAATAACATTAACGTTTTCAATATCTTGGTTCAAAATCATCAGTCTAGACAGAGACTGCAACCAAGGACTTGTAAGAAACTAGGAAAAGAGCTGTGGAATGAACTAGAATATCCTGAAGTATAACAATCACTGGAAACTGAGGCCAAGATTATACATGCTACAGTATTTCCAGTTACGTATCAATGTGAAAGCTGAACAATGAAGCTGACAGGGAAAAAATTCATATGAAGCGTTAGAGAAGAGTTCTATGGGTACATGGGCCACTCGAAAGACTTATAAGTGGGTTCCAGATCACATTGAGTCTGAAAAATTACTAGAAACAATTACACTGAGTCTATTGTATTTTGGATATATTATAAGAAGGCAAGACTCACTGGAAAACAGAATAATGCCAGGAAAAGATAAAGACAATAGGAAAAAAGGGAAGATTGAACATGAGCTAGATTGGCACAGTATAATAAACTCTGGTCTTTGGTTTACAGTACCTGAGCAAGGATATTAATTACATGGCGGTTTTGGGGGGGGGATCTCATTAATTCATAAGGTCACTTTCTTTCTCTAATGGACCTACATGGCTATATTGTTTGCAATTCTTAAATCAGACTGTGCATGTTCTGCAAAGCGAATTACACACTGGAGCAAAAACGTAACTTTAAAAAGAAAAAACCTTTGCTTGTTTATGCCTAGCTTCTTCCTTTAACAGCTTGGGATATAGCAAAGAATTTCATAGAACGTGGAAGCCCTGTCTGTCTCCTACGCAGTCCTCTTGTCTTGCTCATTCTGTATACAAACATATTCCTGAATGGGTACTACAGTGACATCCTACCTGAACTTGCAGGAAGCCTGAAGTAGCAATCCACAGAAAATCCCAGTTGCCCTAGTTCTGTCAAAGCATGCTGACCCAGATGGCACCAGTGATTCACTATAATATTACTTTTCACCATGAGAAGTAATTTTTAGCACTTCAGTGAGCCAGATTCCAAGCATTGAAACTTCTCCAAGATGTGTCACATCTAATGTCCCCTGAGCCTAGTTTCTTATTTTGCCAAGTCATTACCCAAAGCCAACTCAGACATTTTGAAATGAGTAGGGACGTTACTGGAGGACACTTATTCCCCAACCAGTTTAACACCTGCCAAATTACTTCTTCTGCAACTGATTAGTAACCGGAAGCCATGAAGAGAGGCTCAAGCAGTGGAAGCCAAGAACCTTTTCCTCCTCCTACCATTGCGATGTACATGCAATTATACAAGGTAGAAATGGCACTAATAGCCACAACTGAGGTCCAACAGCCATCCTGTAACTATCCGTCATCTTGCATTGCTTTCTCCACAGTTCTTATTTCAAAAAAACAAGAACTCACACGGCACCTTGCACATTATAGGAACTACAAAAATATCCAAGTAGCGTAATTTCTAAATGTAGCCCTTATTTAACCTAGTTAAATGTGGGATTAAAGTAGGGACTAGGTCTATGCTAAGCATTAAGGAAAACGTATGAAATTTCCTCTACCGGAGTGGCTAGATATATATGAATTATAACTTGGATGAGGAATTATTCACAGATTCTTTTGTTGTGCTTTAGCAGTTTTCTAACCTGAATCAATTGGTGGATTCTAAATCAAAACATCTGTCTTCTCCCGAGGATTTTGATTGTGCAGATAAAGAGCAAACGGGCTCCTGAAGGAATGAGACTACAGTAACGTGTGGGTGGGAAGTGTAGCTATTCTTATCTGCGGGTGGGGGGGAGGAAAAATGAGCCAAGGGTTTGGGAATTTCTTTATTGAAAAAATATAAAGCTTTTCAAAACCACATTTTAAAAAATTACAGTAGAAAAGCAAATGTAGGATGAGCAAATATTGGAGATAAGATTTTATACACAACATTTTTAGAGTCCATATATACAGCAGAGATGCCAACTTGAAGTTGTGGCATCTTCTCTTCTCTTTAGAACAATTTTATAAGGATTCTTCAGGAAAAATATATTGAATGTTGCTGAGATAGCATGGTTAAAGTCACAGTCATTGACAGATATGAACTGGAAAGATCTGTTCTTGCACAAAATGGTATACAGTTCAAGTCATAATTACCTTTGTGAACACCTTATATAATAATGCCATATATTTGTCCCAGCCATTATATCCATTTTGTCTAAAGCCTGGATCCCAGCAGGTACTGGGTAATAGGCCATGATAGAGAAGGTTACAATGCTTTCCAAATGAGCTATCCCAAGCATTGCTCTCCAAGAAGCCCCATAGTAGCCAATCACATATATATACACATTACAGCCAAACTGTGGTCTCTTTAGAGGGCCCATACATTCCCCTTGCCAACCTAGCATGGGAAACTTTGTTAGTCTCCTTCCTGCATAAACCAATGTGGCAACATGCCACAGAGGCAGACTCCATATGGGGAAACCGCTGGGAGATAGCTTAATCCACTCGCGCTGCCTTGAAAAGCTCCACAAGGTCCTTGTACTCTGGATCAATAAGGTCAGATGGCTTTTCCCCTTCATCATTAGTAGCATCACACTGGGCCCCAAGTGAGATGAGGTACCTACAGGTTGAAAGAAATAAGTGATTAATTGGATGGGAAGGGGCACAGATTTCTACCTAATTGAATCAAAACTACTGTTCAATTTCTGCAGGTAACATGTCCTTTAGGACAAAGTGAAGAATTGGTTCAGCTCTAATATTTGCACCTTTAAACTGCTTTAACTCCACCGTTAATCATCAAGATCATCATCATCTTAGAACTGCGAGCCAAGATGATGATTATGAACTGTGAATACATTATATAGAGACATTTGAATTAAAAGTATGAAGTGCCTGTGAATAGGACTTTGAGCACTGGTGCAGAGTTGTACAACTGCAGATAGAAAATTGTTGGCATGATGTGCCTTTGGGTCAATAGCTCTTTCTCTTGTTGTAGCTGTTGGAAAAGTTGCACCCAACATCAAAGAAATAGCTGTTTTCCCCAGATGCAGTGCTGTTGTCAGTGACATCATCTCAGAATTGCAGAACTGAAAGGGACCCTATGGATCATTGACTCCAGCTTCTGTCCAAGAGGCACAGTGAGGAATTGAACTCCCAGACTCTGACTCCACAGCCAGATACCTAAACTGCTGAGCTGCTATATATAATTCATATATACTAGCTATCTCTTTGTGTACAGGTTGATCTAGAGGACTTTAAGAGTTTGTAGACTGGCTACTTAGAGTCTAAGTCAAGTTTTCCTTTCTCCATAAAGAGATCTGCCATAAGTATACATTATTTCCATTCTCATCTTCTTCCATTACATATTTAGTAGTCAGGCAATCCCTCTGATCACTTAATGTGCCAGCACAGTTACAGTTCTCATGGCTGCTGTCTACGGACTAGTGCTGCCTGTGAAACAATTGTTTGCCTCATATCCTGAGGTAGCAGGCACCTTTTCATAGCCTCAAACTGTCAACCTAGCACTCACCACATCCAGCGGTCACTTTTCCCCTCCCCACTTGACTTGGCCATGTAGTCAGCTATTTTTGCCTGTCATCGGGGTGGTGCAGCTGAACAAGAAGGAAAGAGGTAAACATAATCTGGCATCTCTGACCTTGCAATGTCAGCATGACCGTCACTGCAAGCTATATGCAGGGGCGTCCAGCCGTCCTCATCTTTCTGATTGATGTCAGCACCATATTTCACCAAGAGCTTCACACAGTCAAGGTTCCCAGAGAGCACCGCCTCATGGAGAGCTGCCATACCTATTGGGAAAAAGGTGATACCATCAGACTATGGATCTTAGCAGCAGGGGTTCCAGAAGAGTTTCATGACTTTTTCTTCAGGTTGGAGTTTTCTAGGTTAATATGCAAAATCCGAGGGAGACTTAATCCTCAGAGGAAAGGAAGGGAAGGGCCCAGAAGTGAAGAGAAACATCGTCACTCCTCAGTAACATGCTTTCCACAAAACTGGACTCAGATCTAAACATTTTCAAGACCATTTCAGTTAAGGAAAGGTAGTGGGGGAAGGAACATGGGTAGGGTGCAATTTTTTAGCGTGACACACACACACATTCTCTTTTTTTGTTTTTGTTAATGAAGACTGGATAAAAAACTTAAGAAATTTAGCAGTTTATTCAAAATAAAATAATCAATACCAATACCTATTTTAGGAGAATTCACAGGAGGCATTTGCGGTCCTCCATAATCATGAGACATAGATAAGATTGCCTAAGTATCCCCCATCAGTAGGAACATAATTCAGTTTTACAGTCTACTTAGAGTCCTAACTTTTATGGTAATCAAATACTGTAATTAGATTACATCAGCTATTCTAATCAAGATTGTAGCATAAGAAATGGCTCAAAGGGATGATAATCTGCTTTACCAGAATGGGATGCGATTCTGTAGAATAATTCCTGTCAGGGAGATTACCCATTCAGTAGGTTATTCTAGGATTTTGGAATATTTTCTGATACCCTGACCCTCACAGCAATCTTCTGCTTCATATATTGTCATCACATAAGACTAAGAGATTTTGCTAATTAATAAAGGGCTTTAAACTTTGTCAGCTAGAGAGAGTGCTGTGTACCTGTTATCATATTCTGGGCAGCCACCCCTTAGAATTAAGAGATGAATTTACAAGTAGCATTCCAGTTGTATGTTTATCTATATTAGTGTGGCAGAAGAACAAAAACAAAAAAAAGCAAAACAAAAAAAACCCACAGAAAAATGAGATGGAACTCTCTTTCACAGACAGGAGGAAACCTGTCATCTTCTTGGAGATAATACATGCTACACAACTATCCCCCAGTTAGATGTACCCACATTCTACTTACCAGAAGGATAGATGGTATCCAAGGTGACTTTTCTGGCACGGATGAAGCGCCCTACCTGTTCCAGGTCACCCTGCCGAATGTGGTCTTGGAAAAGAATGTCATTGGGGAAACGGACAGTCTTTAGGCCTCTTGTGTATCGCCTGTATCTGGGACGTGAGTCTGGGTAATAATACTTCATTGTGGAAGGGGGAAATGAGGGAGGAAGAGATGAATGAGGAAAGGCGATGGATAGACAGTCTCTACGCATAGAAATAGGTAGGCAGCAGCCAGACGACTACACACGATGTTCAGGTGCTGAAGTACAAATGTGTTGACTCAAAGAATCTTCTTTCCCCTACAAACACTTGTCTTCAAGAAGTGACTCGCTGTTTTCCTGAGGACTTCCTTTCAAGGGCAGCGATCTGTAGAGGGCTGACAATTTCTAGCGGTGTCTCCTGTTATATAGCTTTCCCCGGTTATTTTGAGAGCAGTCAGCTCATACTATTTGCCTGAGATTTTGTAACTGAGCTGCATTACCCTCCAGCCTCCCCCTTTCCACCCCAAGTCAGAGTCTCAGCTTACAAACCCACCTGTTGATGTGCAATAGCCAACAGGTCAAGAGTCTTTCATGATCTGCATGTGCAGATTCCAGTAGCCTCTGATTTTGCAAATGACTGTTTGCAAAACCCAGTTCCATTTGTTTCAGGAACCTGTTGACAACCACTGTGTCGTTTCCTAGAACCCAACGCACAAAACAATTTCTAAGAAAGAGATAAATCCCAAGGAATCACAAATTGTCAGGAATGCTGAAGTTCTGCAGTGAAGCAGAATTTCAGTTAAATGAACCACAAATGTAATACATTATAGTATTCTAAAGGAATTATTAATTACTTACACTTAAGGGGCACTAGCCCAACATGCTTTGGATACCTAAGAATATTAGCCACTGAATATTCAAACACACTGAACTACCAGGCAGAAATTAAGATATTCTGAGGTATAATTCCGGTAGTGGCAGCACCCATTTCCTAGCATCTATTATATATTAGTTGCCAAATTCTGCAACAGAGAAATCATGCAGAGTTGCATCAACACAAACGTCATTCTCCCTGAGGCAGAACTTGATCTACTTACAGCTCTGTACGTGCCTTGTTTGAAATCCTGTAACTGCTTAGGAATCCAGGCAGTCAGTGTTAATTCTTTCTGCTTGGGCATCCCTCAGACTGCTGTATCTCAGCTCCAGCATAAACCCTAGTATTTGATTCACTGTTATTGACTCTTCTAGTACAGGTGTCTGTTCTTCTCTGGTGCCAAGCTCATGTAATCCAGGCTAAATCTTCTGTTGTGTGTTTCCTATTGCCATGCCTGGCTCAAAGACACTGGAGCACTCTGAAAAAAAATGTTTTACAACCCCGATAAAACACTTTTTTAGTTCCCAAGCTGTGCTCCATGCAGGTGGGAGCACATTTTTACTTATGAAGCCAAGTAAGCAATCTGGGCTGTCAGTTTAGAGTTCAAAGAAGCTGGATAGGAAACAAACAGGATGTATTACGGTAGGAAGCATTTACTAAACAATCATTAATGTGAGCAAAATCTTTGAAGACTATTAGAAATTCTAAAGAGAAGCCAGAGTCCCTGAGTCCCTGTCAGGGAGGCACAGTGGGAAAACAAATTCCCAACCTTTGGCTCCAGTCAGATACCCAAGCTACTGAGCTTGCTGGTTTGGGAGTAATGAACAATATAACTGTTAGATACAGAATGACTCTTTAGGTGAACATACAAGTTCTACATGTTAAGATATGACCAAATAGCACCTACATAGTTTCAATAATTATTTATTTTAAGGCATATTGACAGGATTTTTTTCTGATTTTATGCTACTCTCTTGACAGACGGGGGGGATGATTGTGGTGGTAAACCTACTCCTTAAATATCTCTTACCTTGAAAGCCCTGACAAAGCTGCTAGTTCTGACTTTCCAAGCTAAAGGAGAATCCCACTGGCAAAGTGCTGCACCTAAATCTGTTTTTAGCTGCAAGTGTGGTGTTTGCAAGGGTCCCAAAGAATGGCTCGAAGCCTCCCCATCATGCTCCTCTCCTATAAGAGTTTGGGCACCATCCTGGTTGTTTTGACTTTGGATGAAGCAATTGTGACCAATCATCTTGCGCTGCATCCACACTAATCCCCAAAGTCTTTCAGCCAGTACATTTTTCTCCTTATTGCACTTCTTTTCCCATTTACTTCATCCTAATATAGTAATTGTATTTTTTGATTATATATATATATTATATTGATATATTTTATGTTGTAAGCCGCCCCAAGTAGACATGGTCTAGAGGGGCGGGGTATAAATTTAATAAATAAATAAAATAAAATAAATCCTGCACGATCAGTTGCAAGTCTAAATGTGACAGAAACCACCCTGCTTTTTGTATTTTACATGCTTTGTAATCTCCTTATTGCTTCTGCATCATGCCAGTATAGGGTGCATGAGCGTTGGTTGAAAGGCAGTTGCAAAGTCTGTGGAGATGAAGAAACACTATTAATTTTAAACCCTCTGAGGTGCAGCCTGGTAACATCACATCTCAAGCTGATTCTCCAAGCTTGTAAATCTTCATTTTGGAATACAAGTACTGTAACTACAACTTCCATGCCTGTAACATCTCTGAAGTTTGTTTCTCCCTCTACTGTCTCCTTGTTTTGTAATGCCCATGCTATCAAGGAGTTCTGGAGGACTTGAAAGTTGCTTTTCTTTTCTTTTTTTAAACGTATTTTGGAGACTTAAAGCTCCACTTGTTTTGTTTTGTTTAATTCATGGGCCATACAGCTTAGTTCCTCTGTTTCACCTTTTAACTCACACAATTGCTTGTGGTTGAAAGCTATGTGAATTAATTTATGAAGCAGCAACTATTTTGGGAGTTATTAAAATCCGAGTTCCAACTTGCTTGACACCCCAACTGAACAGAGAAAGAAAACGAGGCTGTGTTGAGCACTCTCCTCCTCTGCTCAACTTGTGGCAACTTGTTTTTCCTTAGCTGACTACTGCTGCCATTCACTGACGGAGGAGGCACCCACATCTCTCATCATATGACAGAAAGGCGTATTTGCTTACATAAACATTTCCAGTTCAAGTAACCAACAAGTTTGACACCTTTCAGGACTTCATGCGTATGACAGATAATAGCTAGACAATGAAGCTAGTTTTTTAAATTTCACATCTGTTTAATTTTTAATAACCTATTTTGCTTTTTTAGTGTTCAGTACTATTTTAATATCAGAAGCTACACTGGGTCCTCTTGAGAAAGGCAGGGCATAAATATTTTAAATAAACAAAAAAATAATCATACTTCTCTGGAAACAATTTTGCTGAAATCAAATCCAAAGCTTGATGCCCTACAGAATCTTTTGGGTACTTTGAAGGCCTTAAATTTATCAAACAGTTAAATTCTTTTTGGCAGCTGCACAAGGATCTTTCTCTTCTTCCCCCTCATACACACACATATCAGTAGCTTGAAAGTACCAATTTAACAATTCTACATAGAATTGTTGATTAACAAAAATCAAGAACTTTGTCTCCAGTACTTTTTTCTTTTTAACACTTCAATATTCTGGAATTCTAAATGTTGCTGCACTGAAGACGACATTAGGCTATATGATTGGTGAGGGCACTGGATGTTTTAGAATGGGCAAAGTGGACTATCCAGTTCAAATGTGGCAATGTATGTTGTGCCATAATTTGCTATTGGACCAATAGGATATACTATTTAAATTACATTTCTCTATGCTCCATCTTTGTAAGGAACTTGGGAAATGCTGTTCTTTATTTTATGCTAGCAACATTGCTTGATAGATCAAGAAGGGCAAGGTCATCCTATAAACCAAGATCTGAATCAAAGCTGTACTAGACTGGTACATGAGACATTATACTACACCACCTGTATGCCACAATTCTGCCTTTACTATGCTACTTCATTTTGCTCCTTGTTAAAAAAATAATCTTGAACTTCTAAAGTGGAGGAAAGTCTAGATCAAAGGAAACTCCCATAGTTTTATGAAAGTAGCTGACCAGGCAACTCAATAAATTTGTATCCCAAATTATTTTAGAAGCTTAAGACAGCTAATACATAAAAGATGAGGAATAGCTATCTTTCTCTTCTGGATATGTGTAGATTGCAATAGTAAGGCTACTTCTGGAAATATCTTCTGTGAAACATTCAATGGTAATGAGTCCTATGAGTAGTGAATCAGCTACCTAAAGTTATTTCTTGATACAAGAAGCAGCATTTACTTTTTCTTTCTTTTTTTTTAGGATGACTGTGATCGGTAAGGTATGCATGGGCAATGATATTCAAGACCCTTTACGTCAGGATTGACACTTTAAATTATGTGCAAGACAGGAAGACTCTAGGGTGTGGGTGCAATAGTGTTCCTGAATGGTTAGTTCCTTGTAAGCTGAGCTCTGCTTTGCAGCACTGAACTCTGCAACCTGCATAAATCATGCGAACTAAGCAACTTGACATGACTGATTACATAATTTTGCTTTTACTCATTTTGTGAAGGGGTAAGGATCATTGCAGGACCCCTGCCCCCCATCTATGAATTTAAAACAGCAAACAGTTACTGGTTCATCCAACATGTGATAAATCATCATTGCCTTCATACCAAAGTATTAACGTATGTTCAACTTTTGAGTAACAGCTCCAGAGACAGATGTGTTGATTTTCTCCTTGGATAACATTTTCATTTCCAAAATGTATTCCACAAGGCTAAGAAACCCTCCAAGGCTGTTTTGCGTAGTATGAAGAATCACAGGATAAGGAGAAAAAAGCGACTCAGCACCTCACTGGATTTGATCTTTTACACATACTTTATCCTCTCCAGATACAGGGAGCAAACAATACCCTGGAATTGCTTTGTACTGAAGTCATTCAGTCTTGTTTAAATATGATTAGTTGCAGAGAACAGGTATTAATATTCGCTATTCATAGAATTGAAACTGTTGGCAAAAGTTTTGGGAGGGTAACTTGGGTGCAAGAAGCTCTACCCAAAGAAAATCTGACCCACATGCACCTTTCCAGGTCTGTGTACAGTAGAATCCCCTTTAAAAGAATCCAAACTCAACAGACGCATGCAGGGTAGTATTAAAATCCATTTTTATTTGGCCAAAGAGTCCCATTCTTGTTAGCATCATGGATGCTCAAAGCTATTCCCAGTTCTGCTGAAACGCACATTTCCCCCTCCCATTAGCAATCCTTGGCTCTCAATTACCCCCATGAAAGAACAAAAACCACAAGTGACTGAGAGTCCCTTTTGTTGTTGCATTCTGGCAGGCTGTTTTCCAAACAGCTCTGTGAGTAACCGGGGAAATCCTTCCACAAAGCAATGTGTAGTGTGCCAGTCTGACATTTGTTCTGGGTCAGGGTGGGGACACCAGTTAAGGGTTTGCCTCAGGCGAGGGAAGGGCAGGATCCTCTTTGTTCAGTGCCAGTCTCAGATCCTCTCCTGATCTTTGGAAGAGCGGCATGTGCTGTTCAGCATAAAGGGAAGCAAGACTATGCCGTGAGTTAAGGGGACCCTCCCACCCCACCCTGCTCATCCATTTTCCTTTCCATTGACACCACTGTGATTGCTTCCATGCTGGAGTGGCCCAAAAACGAGAAGAGCCAAAACAGCAACCAAGACCCAGGTGGGCCAACAGCAGCCGAAGACATTCGGACAATTGTGACTAAAGCTTGAAGGAGGCGCTAGCAGTGAGGCCCAAAGACAGGCCATGGGGCATGCTGCTGTTTCAGTCAGCTTCTCTACCCAGATCACAGAACACTCTAGGAAATGAAAATGTACATCACAGTATGTATATTTGGAAAGGGGTGGTGGCGGCTACCTAGGCAGGTCCCTCTTCGGAAGCAGAAAAAAACAAAAGAAGAATCAGCTGACAGACAGGTTAGGATTAAGTATTATTTTAGTCCATGCCCTGTACCCTTCAGCCAGCTTGAGTCTTCAGGTCAGAATTGGTTTCTGGACTTGGCTTGACTGCATGAGTTAGGCAGCCCAAGTATAGTGCCTGGGGATATGCAGACTGGACTCCTCTCTACAGTTCATCTTTTTTAATTGTAGCATCTTCCTCTTCCTCCTCCTCCCCTTCAGCGTCTGTCTCCAGATCTTCTAGATCTTCCAGATCCTGTTTTAAACAAAAGACACAAAAGGGTTAGTTAGCGGCAACTTCTGATTCACATCCAATGCCAAGCAAGCAGCTTCCTCAGAGACCAAGGGTCCTGATGGAGCAGCACCCATGACTGTTACTGGTATGGTAACAAGTGTATGTGCTTCCATTCTCCAAAATTTAGCTACTTTCACAGGTTGGGACTTACTTTCCCCCCCCCCCCACATGCAGGACAGGAAAAAAAAAACATGCTTTTCATGGAGCCATTAAAGACCAAAAGCACACAGCTTAGAAGCATTTCCATATATCAGGCAGAAGGGCTTTTTAAGCCAACCGGCAGTATTTAGGCTGGTTGGCTTTCCATTTGCTACACTTAAAAAGGGAAAAAAAGATGGGAGGAGCAGCTTCAGTTTAAACAACTTACAGTAATTTGCCATGTTCCACAGCTCCCTTTACCACTCCAGAAGCCTGGGTTAAGACAGTTGTTGCACCATACCGTTCACTTCCCAGATTAACAGTTAAGCACTTCCTCCCCAAAGAGGCCACATCCGCAGTCCTCCCAAGGGATGCCTTGCCAGGGAACTGCACAAGCCCATCCCAATTCAAAAGGAGAATCCAAGGACTATGTAAAACAAGCTGGAAATTAATATATTCTTGGGCCCAGAAGAGGACAGGAGTGTAGGGCAAATTTGACTATATATGTATATGTATTCAGTTCACACTGGGAACCCAGCCAGAGAACGGAGGGTCAACGAAGCTGGAGTCTCTGACTCCAAAGAGGGGAGGGCTTAGCTTAGTAGAAGGGTGTTTCTTTTTTGTGCTGATGTTTTAGTTGTATGTTTAGTAGTATATTAAATCAATTTTTTTTAAAAAAATAGGAGAATCCAAGCACGTGGAGGTGAATCTCATAAAGGCACAGAGACCACACTTGATCCGGACTGCTCCACAGCAGAAGGGTTCCGGAGGCCTCCAATCCTGTCCTTTCCCAGTCTATACACTTAGCTTCGCAGCTACTATTGCTCTGCCAACCAACTGATCTACAGTCAGCTGGGATGATGATAGGCATGGAGGGAAAAAGGCATGGGCCAGACCATTCTGGCCAGCCCACTAGGGTAGCCCCTGAATGCAAAACACTCACCCGTCTCTCTCCCCTGAGTACCATTTTTAGGGGAGGAGTATATGGTCTATTCTTGCTTCAGCAGGAGGCCAGGGTCCCCTTTGAACTCTACAAATCTATTATCCTGTGATTCTGTTCTCAGCACAAGGTACCAATGCATTTCTGATGCAAGTGCGTCCTGTTCAGATCCGTTGGAGAACCTGCAACTATCTTCTCAGAGGGGGGGCATGCTGTCGTTTGCATGAAACCCAGTATGTTCCTTTCTAGACAATATCCACTGGTGCCAACCCAGAGCTTCTCCAGTCAGTGACAATGAACATTTTCCAAAAGTAGGGTGTAACCTCCTGTTCAGTCATGTTCCCATCCTACCTAAAATTATCACCGTGGAATTCACTTCAAGGTAGCTTCATTTTGTACAGCTTTTTTGCCAATTTACTGCTCAGTTTCCCAGACAAGATATGGTTTTTCTCTGTACCTGTGAAGTCTTAATAACAGACTTGTATTTTTTAGCCAATACCATATTCTTCCATTTAAAAGATTCCCACCCACTTTTCTAATCCAAAAATTAAGAAAGCTTTGAGTATCCAGCCTCTGGGCTCAGAATGCTCAGACATAACCAGTCCATTGAATCTGAGCACTTGCCTACATGCTCCACCTCCAACGAAGTGTGTTCCAATTGGTTTGTTCAGCATCAGCTGACATCAGCTCCATAAGGCTCGTGACTGGAGAAGCCTGTTTACAGAGGCAAGGTATGTGCTATTTTGTTCTTTCCTCAGCTATCTTCCATATATAAGATGCACCTCAATTTTTAGTGCAATGATTTTAGGAAAAAGTAGTATACATGGAAGAATACAGTAGATAGGAATCTCAAGAAATTGTCCTCCCCTACTGAGGTTATAGGCCTGCTAAAAACCAAACAAGCAGAAGCAAACTAAAAGCCAGCATTACTCCGCTAGATGTCAGATACACCTTCATGCCAGACCTGATGCCCCAAGTTTATATGATCAAGAACAATGTGATTAGCTCTCAAGACACTCAAACACAATTCACTCAAAGAGCCCTGCTCAGGGTCAGATTATAAGCCAAAGAATCAAATCGGTCCTGTGTTTCCACATATGCCAAAGCAGATCAGATGAAATATCTGGCATCAATGATAACTCTAGGATAGAGTATACAGGCTTCTATCCTAGATAGGCAGCTTTCAATAACTAAACAGAAGCCATTATACAGATGTCACAAATACTAAGATGTGATGAGGTGGGATCATCAATTAGTCACTGTGCCCAACATACATAGGAAAACTAGTCCTGAACTCTGCAGAGAGATGCTTTAACTTGGGTTTCTCCAGGTTCACCTGCCATTCCCGGTGAGCAATAGCACCCACCTCCCCAAAACATAACCCCCAACAATACTGCAAACAGCAAGCAGCATTACTGTTAAGACTGGCCAAGAAGAAAATGAGCAAAGAATTGCCACACACGCCAAAAGGAGCAACCAACTGACTTAAGCAAGAGGATGCGCACACCTGGTGTTGGGTGCTGCAGACCAAGCCAGGCCATTGAAGATTCCTCTTGAGAAAACTAGATAGATGGGTCAAATCTGAGAGGAGTGTAAACAGGGTTTCTTGAACACTTGCGATTAACTGAAAAGGGCAGGGCTCTGAAAGGGAATGGGAGGTTGTGTCCACTACTGCAGTTTATGTGGCTTGGAATGACAGGTATTCAGGAACATCCTCGCCATCACACCAGCTCATTCTGGATATGACCAGCTGTGCTTTGTTTACAAGTTGCTACGGAACTAGCATTCTCTGCTGTCACTGTAAGCCATAAGTAGCTCCACAGGAGAGAACTTTCCCTTCCCTCTGGGATCACAACTGAACCCTGCCCGAAAATGCATGCATACCAGAACCCACAGAATTCAGAGCCCCAATTTAATATACTCACATCTTCATCTACACCACCATCTTTTCCACCACTCTCCAGGAACTTCTTAAAGCCTTCCAACGTCCTCTCACCATTGTAGTCTACAACCTATAAAAGCAAAGGAGCAACAGTGTGACCAATTAAAGGCATCAAAGGGTCTTGGTGGCTGAATAATTAATTCACTTTCAGAACAATGAAGCAAAAGGGACTAGAAAAATTCACCTTTGCCTACATGAGCTGAAGAACAGTCAGTCACTAGCTCCCCTTGAGCACTGCTAGGAAAGAATAGTCTGCACATGAGCATCATCCTCTACTAAGCAATCCAGCTTCTTTAAGACACAAGTGAAGGCCTCCCACACAAACATCCCATTCAAAATCATCATCTTTAGGAACGTCTCATCCAACAGACATCCTGAACCAACTATAGCCCACTCACCGTTCTGTCAGGACCTGCAGGGAAAAACTTGAGGGTAGGGAAGCTGTGCACTTTCACTGCTTCAACTTCATTGGCTGTAGAGTCCATCTTGGCAATAACAACATTTTCATGATCCTTATAAGTCTCTCCTAGTTTATCCCAGATAGGAGCCAATTGTTTGCAGTGGCCACACCAGGGAGCATCTGCAAGCCAGAAGGTGAAAAGATTTGTTTAGCATCTACCCAGAGAGAGCCATATCCTGGCAGAGCCAAAACACAACCCTCTCCTGTGTCAAGTTGCCCAGTCCTGAAATGTACGCAACTCAACACAGAATGCCCAGATTATGGATCCATGTGCACTGCCATCCCCAAACGACTTACAGAATTCCACAAAGACATTCTTAGTCTCATCAAAAGCCACATCCTCAAAGTTCTTCCCAACTAGAATTTTGACAGATTGTTTGTCCCAGTCGTCAGGAATCTCTTGGCTCATCAGATGGGGCTGAAACAGGCAAGAGGAGCCACATGAGAGTAACAGCATGGTATGTGCTAACACAGGAAAGCCCCCACCTCCCACACTGTTCCAAGACAGCTCAGAGCAACTGACAAGCTCTGGGCTATAAAAAGTCAGACCAATATAGACTTCCTCCTTCAAGGTCAAATCCCCTCCTCAAAAAAAACAAAAAACAAACCAAAAAACCAAAAAACGACCAGGACATGTCTGAGCTGCTGTAAGAGAGTTGTATGCTGGGCTCTGCACAAAGCAGGCCTAGACTCACTACACCGCCTAGACCAGGCTGATTACCTTTACAATTAAAGGGCAGGGTTGGTGGAAAGCCTAGCATGTGCAACAAGCAAAGGAAACAATCCCTGCAGAGTCAGATGATGTTTTCCACAGAACATCTATGAACAAAGAGACCCCTTAAGGCCAACTCTCTATGACATGGACCTTTCTAGAAATGGCCACTTCTACTATTCCTGATAACTATTTAGGATGGCTGAGGTTGAGGACTGGCTAACATCCAGTTTGTCATTAAACTCACTGAGACACGGCCCACATTTACCTTGCATTACTTGTTCCACATGTCAAATGCTCACAAATCTCCCAAATTCTAATTGCTCAACCCTGTTCCTCCCTTTCATAGAAGAAGATCCATTATGCTCTTTTTATAAATAAGATACTGCCAAATCGATATGGAGCAGGAGTAAGAAACCTTTTGGCTTTCCAGGTGTTTCTCAGACTGGAACTTTCATCAGCTCAGCCACTTTAGCCCAAGGCCAAAGGATGCACAACACCTGGAAAGCAGGTGGTTGCCCAGTTCTGAAACAGAGGTGTAGCAAACATATCCCTCATAATATTTTACAGGAGTAGAGATCATTTGTTTGTTTGTTTGTTTTTAGTGTAAGAGGGGTGGAATTCATATGGAATTCCTCACATTCAGAGCAAAGCAGTGTAGTCCCTCTAGAGTAGTGGTTCCCAACTTTGGGTAATCCAGGTATACTTAGACTGTAACTCCCAGAAATTCTGGCCAGCACAGCTAGTGGTGAAGGCTTCTGGAAATTGCAGTCCAAGAACACCTGGGTTACTTAAGGTTGGGAACCACTGCTGCAGGCCATACCACATTTTTTCTGATATGTACACAGGCTCTGAATGATGCTGACCCACAGGAGTGCTGTTAATTGAATATTAATACAATCTAGACTGCATTCCCAGTATGTGACACACATTAATCTTCAGTCCTGCATCCTACCCAATATTTATGTCAGATAACACTGAATACTTCTGACCTCTGCTATCATCAGCCCAGATTAGCCACCTCGAACTCATTAATTCATTAAATTTCACTTTTTCAAATTTGCACCAGTCTACTCTACTGAGTTTAATCAAGAAGAACACAGATAAGGAAGACAAAGAACACAATGAGGCAGAGCTGAGGAGTGATTTAGAAGGGGTGATTAATAAGAGCCATAGCTGCAGGTACACAGTTGCCTCTGTCTTTGGATGAAGATAGAAAGCTCCCAAAGGCTCGTGCGATATGAGGGCAAGGCCATGCTCCCTCTTCTGCTGTGCCATTCTTGGATCTGGAACACCACTCATTCTATAAGCAGCCCCCAGATCTAAGCTTAGGTTTATCAGCACCATTAAAGCTATTTACATACTGGCACTGTGCCCCACTGACTTTGCCCTTTGGGTTTCTCAGCATGAAGCTCTAAATACTGTCCTGTTAGACATGCTGCAAAGCTACCTTGAAAGGCTTCAAGCCATGTGAGAGAACTCAATATCATGCCATTTGTTGTGTTGGAATAATCTCACATGGTTGCTAGCCCTAAAAAGCCATATTTACAAGATAATTACCTTAACCTTGCCCTCCAAGAATTTGTTGCAGAAATCCTTTATGTTCTCTGGAGTCAGCTCATCTGACTCTGGTTTGTATTTGGTCATTTCTTCTTCTAGAGTAATGAGACGGATGGCAGGGCATTCTTCCTTCTTGAGGCCAAAGAACTCCAAGATTCTCTGGTTGTCACTGTGGTCACTGTCTATGAAGATGAACAAGATCTGGGGTGAGAGAACAACAGAATGTATTAATCATTTTAGTGAGAGTTCCTCCTTCTTACTCTATCCTCATGTTCCTATTACACTCAGCTATGAAAAGGTCTTTATGTCCTTCCTGATGGTTTGCAAATAAGACAAGGAACAGTGATAGCAAAACTATGTTGGTGCTAGCATTAACTGCCTAGAAGAAAAAAGATCCTCACCTTTCCTTTGAAGCTCTCTGCTGCTTTTTTAAAGTTATCCAGTTTTCCTTGGTAGTCTGTAACACTTTTCGGCAAGAACAACAGAATGTGGGTCTTGATCTCTCCTCCAAAGATTTTGGGTGCCGTCTGGAATGAAAACACATGCACTGCAATATCATTACAAGGAATCTTGAGTGTTGCCTTCCTCCGCTCTCTAGTTCCCCAGCTCTCCCTTTTGTTATAGATAAGGTCCCCTACCCATATAATCCTAAGTGCCAGCAAGAGAACCATTTCCATACCTGTTCAGTGAACTCTATCACCAAGGGCAGCTGGTTTGATTTGATGAAGTTCAACAGATTCTCTTTTGTTATCTCCCCATCAAAGTTGTTACGGCCTTCATCAAACTGCGGAGAAAAAGCACAAAAAGATTAAATGCATGGCAAGATTTAAAAAGTCAGAAAACTTAACAAGTCAATTATTAGCCTACTTGGTACTCAAATACAGAGAAAAACAGCAGGTTGGCTGTATACCATAATTCTAGAGGTCAGGATGTGATACTGGGTGTATAAGTCAGTATTTTGAGAAGACATGTGAGAACGACAAAAGTCACAAAAGCCAGAAAGGTGGCAAAGTAAGACTACTGTGGCATGAACATTAACATTATACATTTTAGTCAATTAATTCATAATTATGCAAAAAAGATATATGTGAAGTAGCTGAATTTGCAAAAAGTGTACCATAACATCAATCAGCATGGGTTGTCAGCAAATAATTTTCAGCAAACTAGGAAGAGAATGCACCACGTGGCAGTTTATACTTATAGGCTCCAATTCCCGACTCCCATCACACAGCTAAGGGTGCACATTTCACATTGCAAGCAAGGCACAGAATTCTCAAATTTAAAATCCAGGATGGACTCTCAACGCAAAGCTCTCATCTTACTAACAACCTAGATTGAAGACTCCATAAGAGTAAACAGAGCAGCAAGCAGAAGGAAGCTTGGCATGAATTAGAAGGCCAGATTCTTAGCAGAACACCCACTTTCTCAAAAGGATCCCTGTCAACATTCTAGAATGTCTAAAGCAAACAACTGGGAAGCCATGACAAATTCCATAATCAGAGACACTGGACACTCTGAATCCAGTGAGTAATAAGTTGCAAGTATTGCTGGAAGGAGACATCGACAAAATCATTGGGAAAGTGTTCTCATCCTAGCCAGCAAGACACATCATGAAGTCATGTAATAAATAGCAGTTTACTCAAAGGGCAACACATCCCTGCAGGTTTATTGTTAGCAACAGCAGAACAGATGTTCAAGAGTTTGCATTGTAATTCCAGCTCCAGGAACAAATTTATCACACAGAACACCATCTATTTCTGTGCAAGTTTTCATAACTTTTCCTAGTATCCTGGAATTGGTAGGGGGCTGGAAGAGGAGGGACGAGTAACTAAAGTTATCCACCATGAGGGACAAGCAAAGGACAGCAAATCTAATAACAGAAGAGACAAAGAATAATGGGAAAGGAGGCAGTAGCAAAGAGAATTCTGCAAGCTACAAAATTCCTGATTTAAATCTTACCTTAAGAGAAATCACTGCTTTCAATCACACAGCTAAAATGACCTGCCTGTTTCAAAAGTACCACTGTCAATATACAGTACACGCAAATTGCATGGCACTGTAATATTCAGAATTACTACGTACACTAAACAAAATGTAAACATGCATATTATTAATTCATTTTGAAAATGGTTTGCTAGACTGTTTAATTAGAAAGGAAAAGTAAATCCCTGGTCAAAATGAGTACATACACATGTGGAGCCACTTAGAATGCAGCACACAGGCTACAAATTTTAGGGTTTGAAATTTGGTGTGTAGTTTTAATATAATTAAGATGAGTATAGAAAAAATAGACCTAAAAATGAAAGCAACTTTTAAAAATTGAGGCTTGGAAAAATAATTTACTATAGCCATTGCAGAACATTTTTAAGTGTTCCAAAGCTATCAGCCAGCCAACAGTCACTGAACAAAATCAATTCCTAGCAGCTGAACTCTTTATGTTACAATAGAATATTATAGTGTTTTCATTATTATGAACCTGTATATTTTACAATATGTAAATAAAAATCTATGTTTCTAAGTCCTGGTATAGTGCACTCTTTTGGTGATTATAATTTTTGTAAGTTCACACTTGAGGATGAGAATCTTGGTATTATAAGGTCCAAGGTCCAAAATCGTATGTCTCCAGGACCTGCAAAAATGTTAGTCAAAACAATTCTGTTACTGGCAATTTGCCAGATATTAAGGTTATGAAATTCTGGAGTTGCAGCAACAATTAAGATTCCTATTAGTTTTTTTCTTGAAAATCAAGATACCTGGACCTCCAGAAAGGTTTTTTTAACAAATGTGGCAGTTTTAACATGTGAAAGAATTATAAATATGGGGAGATAAGACACACACATGGACATTCAAATCATCACATCATTGCAATACCGTGCAAGACATCAAAGAACAACAACAATAATAAATGTTTTATTACAGTCATTGACGAGCAAAAGGAACATTTTTAAATTAGGAAATATAAAATCAATCTAAAAACACTAAAAACATCTATATGCATATATTTAAAACTACATTCATACATCTTATTAGATATCTCCTGCCTTCCTATCATAGGCCTTATCTATGGGCTATTGCAGCTTGCACAGAATGACAGAATTGTTACTCTGAAGTTCAGAACCCATATGATCATTAAGGCCTCTACATGTATATACCAATTTACAGATACAGTACTATAGCTGCGCTTTGGGTGGAACCTTTCCTTCAGGGATTTTGATTGCCGCAGCACAGAACTTAGCTACTTTTGTCAGTATATCTGAATTTTGGTTTAGCCCAGTATATCCGCCAGGGCATTGCCCTGTCAGCAAAATGAGTGTGTAATGTGTCTCTGATCATCCAGGAAATGCCTTTATGTAAGGGTTAACAAGGACTTCTTGAATGCCAGAATAAAAAGCACAATGAAGTAACACATGGGAAATAGTTTTGATCTCACCAGAGTTACAGGGGCATATACGCTGAGTGTAAGGGGTATTGTTATACTTCCCTTCCTGGAATGCTGACAGAAATAAGAGCTTTGTGTTGTTCAGGTGTTAAGGTAGGTAGAGATATTTAGCCGGTTTGGGTGGGAGAAGTGTGTTGTCAAGTACAAGCCTATTTCTGATACAGTTAACCCTCAACTTACAAACATCCCTAGAAACAAACTTTTCGATTTACGAACGGTTCTGTTGGCAAAAATTTGCATCGGCATGCAAACGGAGCTCGACCGACGAACGAGGTCAAGGCTCCGTTTGCAAGTCAATGCCATTTTTTGTCAATGGAACCGTTCATAAATGGCTTCCTGCAAAAAGGCAGGGAGAAAGGGCTGGAAATTTGAATTTCCTGCCCCTATCCCTGCCTTTGGAGCTCTCAAAGGGCTTCCTCCGATGTCAGGGGGAAAGCCCTTTGAGACCTGCGAAGGCACCGATCGCAGTGGTGGGGACCCCCAGGGAGGTCTCCCAGGGCTTGCCCGCTACCATGGGAGACCTCCCTGGGGGGGTCCCTGCCACCGTGATTGGCGCCTTTCCACCCCCCCGACATCGGAGGAAGCCGTTTGAGACCTCCAAAGCCAAAAAGGCAGGGAGAAAGGGTGGGAAATTCAAATTTCCAGCCCTTTCCCCCTGCTTTTTCGCCTTTTGAAATGCTGGAACGGATTAATTCTGTCCCCATGCATTTCAATGGGAAATGGTACTCAGACTTACTTTTTGACATACGAACATCGTTCCAAAACGGATTAAGTTCGTAAGTTGAAGTACCACTGTAATACCAAGGTCCTGATGCCTTTCCGTCTCAATAATATGCTGCCTAAGATTACTCTAGACACCTGCTTCTTGGGAGGAAAGCGATGACAAACCTAGACAGCATCTTAAAAAGTAGAGACCTCACCTTGCTGACAATGGTATGCATAGTCAAAGCTATTGTTTGTCCAGTAGTGATTTATGGAAGTGAGAGCTGGACTATAAAGGCTGACCACCAAAGAATTGACGCTTTGGAATTGTGGTGCTGGAAGAGACTCTTGAGAGTCCCCTGGACTGCAAAGCGAACAAACCTATCCATTTTGAAGGAAATCAACCCCGAGTGCTCACTGGAAGGACAGATCCTGAAGTTGAGGCTCCAGTACTTAGGCCATCTCATGAGAAGAGTAGACTCCCTGGAAAAGACCCTGATGTTGGGAAAGTGTGAAGGCAGGAGGAGAAGGAGATGACAGAGGATGAGATGGTTGGACAGTGTCACTGAAACTACCAACATGAATCTGACCCAGCTCCGGGAGGCAGTGGAAGACAGGAGGGCCTGGCGTGCTCTGGTCCATGGGGTCACGAAGAGTCGAACACGACTTAACGACAAAATAACAACTACAAAAGATTACTCTCGGCCTTAACGTATCCCATTTGTTGGATACATTCTACTGAACAATCTGTTGATATTATGGTATACTGCTCTCTTCCAAGGTGACTGATGGTTATCCTGTAATACCAGCAAAGTCAGTCCAACTGGTTGAAATGTTAGTTTTAGCCAAAAGTTAAAAATAGCCAGCCAAGCTCTGGCTTCAACCTTCAGGTAGCCCACTTCAAACCTAAGGGCTGCATTGGATACCCCTCTCGGAACTTGTAAGAGAGCCCTCACAAATTTAGATTGAACTACTTCTAATTGGATAAATGAAGAATAGGGACCCAATTATGCCCCATACAAGAGCTGAAAAAATCTTAGTGCAGGTGGAACATACTGACTTCCCTTTCGTGTAGAAGAATTTTAGTATAGCAAGGCTAGATTTTTGTGCTGCTTGAACCACATTGTTAACATGAGCCTTGTGGTTCCCTTTATATTGAAAGACACCCAAATATTTGTAAGCCTTAATTTGTTCTATCTCATGCTCATCAATTAACCACATATAGATCCCGGGCCTCTAAGCAAACACTAAAACTTTGGTCTTCAAGTAATTTATTTGTAGCATTTCCTCTTTACAGTATTCTGCAAGAGTGCGTAATGCTCTCTTTAGTCCTATTGGTGTCTGGGAAATTAGGACTGCATCATCTGCTTATAACAGAAGGGATATACTGTATGTCTATTTGCTAGTTTGGTGGAATGGAATTCCAGATGGCTGTGCGCCATTACCATTGAGTGGATATAAAAATTAAATAACAATGGAGCTAATATACACCTTTGCTCCATACCACTATAGGTAGGAACTTTATCAGACGAGTGGCCTTCCTTGCTGCATCTAATTCTGAGGATTGTATTTTCATGCAGCTTATACCTAAGCAGCAGAAGGAGCCTATCTCATGAAATTAAGTCAAAAGCCGATCTAAGATC